AACTTACCAAACGACACTTCTCATTAGTCGAACTATCTGAAAGACTTTATCTATTTTTAAGTAAAAAATTCTGCCAATTATGAGCAATCTTGAACCTTTCTTGAATCCAGGCTACATACATGACTATTTCCTCAATCAACTTCCATTATGGTAACGCCAAACACTTTTGGACTTGTCACTTATGACTCGGAACATGACTATGTGGCACATTGCATGCGATGTACCCACTACCCGGGCCCTTCGGGTGTGGAACATTTACATGTGTGTACCTACAATGTCAATATCACCACATTTCACCTATCGAGGTGAATTATTATGTCCTCAATAATGCTGACCGACACAACTCAACTTCACAATAATTCATTCTTCAATTATTGCCGACATCTCATATCGGATTTTTGTTGCATTAATTGCATACTGGCTGCATGTTCTGACATTAGGAATATAATAATGCCAAACTCTATCTCCAGAAACTTACCTTTTACGCTTCGATCTTCTATAAAGCGGCTCGCAAATCCTTCAGTCTTCTTCAACAATGGTCCGAAACAACAAACCTTTCTTCCTTTAAATATCAGAAAAAGGATTTATCGATCTCGAGTGGAAAGATTGAGAGTTCTAATGATCCACAATATTCCAAATGATATCCGATGGTTGATTGAAGCAAACGTCCGACTCTCTGGCAAATTTCCAAATTCTTATAAATATCTGTCCGGTATGGGTAGAAGTACTGTTGCCAAGAAACGTAGAGCAAAACGAATAGGCGGCTGCTATAAATGTGCTCGTTGGAACTGCGACACTCGATGCAAATCAGTGGGTTTTGCGTCCAAAAATCGAGAAGATAAAATAGCTTTCATAAAAACTGGCTTGAATAATGAATCTCTGGATCAAACCCTTCAACAAATTCTCGAGACACATCCCAGTGGTGGATATGTGCATCAAGAGCTTATGTCTTTATGGGTCTGTTTTAAAGATGAACAGAACCGCTATAGTCTCGAAAATTTTGTTGCTAAAGATCCTGTTTGCAACATCCATCTCTGTTAACTTCCTTATTAAAAGGTATCTGATTTCTTCTGATAATACATCTCATTTAATGCTCAACTTCTTCCTTGTCTGTTACTTCTGTCAATATAATACTCATTTTTCTTTCTTTAAATATCCCCTCCTTTCTTCAATTCAAGTATCTCTCTACTCCAAATGGAGACTTCTGAGTCTTCTCAAGTCACGAAAGTTCTTCCTTCTATAAAAACCATTTGTGTTCTTGGAGGATCTAAACTTGTATCTTCTTCTCAAAATATCAATATTGTAACCCAACTAATGCGAGAAATTGGAAAACAAAGATCAATTTACTGTATGGAGGAACTAGCCTCACTTTCTTTGATAATCTGCTTT